ATGGAATTCTGAAAAGGCCACCTGAGGGGCCAGTGGACAGAGTTTGTCCTTATTTCCCCTCTCATTTAAAACACCATCTTTCAGGTGCTTCAGCAATGGAAACTTCTCGTTCAAGAACTGATCACACTGATTACCAAGCTTGAATGGCATTCCAGGAGCTTAGGCTTCAGGTTGAGGGCTACAGGGAGAAGGGGAGGTTTGTACGTGGAGGAGTGAAGGCCTCTTACAGGGAACAAATGGGAGTGTGGGCAGATCCAAGACAAGGAGATAGTGATGGGCTGTTGCACTGTCCAGCCGAGAGAAGATGGAGTCCTGGAGAACATGGGTGCAGTGATGACAGGAAGAATTCTGGTAATTCTTCTCCAGAAAAATCACAGTAACGTGAGTGTATTCTTAATGTATTTATTTAATGTATTTAATGTATTTTTAATGTGAATTGGACTTCACCCCGTGTACATTAAAAATACAGAATAGCTAAACATAGCTGAAAACCTTTTTAGGGGTCAGCTTAGAAAGAAGCTATCAGCAAACTTCTTCATCATGAATACAGGGGCTCTGATGGAAGAAGGTACCAAGTCAATCCAGTCCTTCCTTCATCATTTGCAGAGGACAGTTAAGAGGGACCTGATGGAAACGTCATCTCACATCTCGCCATTTCAACAGATCACAGAAAAAGGAGGAAAATGGCATAGAAGGGAACTGGTTAAGCTAGATTTTGAATGTTAATATAAAAGATATTTGACATCTTTGCCAAGTACTCATCAAAATAGACTAAAATTATTTATCACTTACTGAAGTATTTTTCCAAGGTCTCAGATAAAGAGGAGGAAGCACACAAACATCAAACAAAAATGTCAAAAATATTTAATGGGAAATAATTTGTGAATTACATTAAATCTAAAATTTCTGGTGTCAGGAATTCACTGGCGGTCCAGTGGTTAGGACTCTGCGCTTTCACTGCCGAGGGAGCGGGTTCAATCCCTGGTCGGGGAACAAAGATCCCGTAAGCCATGCGGCGTGGTCAAAAAAACATAAAAATAAAAAAATAAAAATGCTGGTGTCAAAGATTTAAATTATTGAGAATCTATCATATGTAGAAAAGAACGACATGAGTTAATTATAGAAGGCCACCAAAGCTAAGTTCAGAAGTCAGTAATTATTTATAGAAAAGTAGAAATTGGACATATTAAGATTTATTTCAAACTCCAAATAATTAACTGTAAAAAAGAAAAAAAAAGTAAATTCAGTCCAAAAAACCCCCAAGAGTTTTAACATTTCTTTAAAGAGGCACCTTGTGGTGATAGGCATTTCTTTCCCCACTTCTCCTCTCCCCTGTCCTCTACCCCATGTCAGGAAAAGGGAACGGGGTGACCGACAACTGTCTGAGTCAAGTCACTGCCCCCGGGCTGAATAGGAATTACAAAAGGGTATTATCTTCTGAAACAAATGATTACTAAATGCACAAACCTTATAGACAGTTTTGCAATTGTCATCCTCATCTGTGTAACTAACCTAAGGTCCTCATCTGTATAACTAACCTAAGGCAACAAATTTGAAATCAGATTCTGAAGCCACAAATCAATTTATCACAAATTAATCATCCATATCCAAATACACCACCCACCTGAATCCGGTTTCCCCCCTCTAAATACTCTACTATGTATTTCCATTTCATTCTGTTTATCTATCTCCCTATTTCTTTCTCTTTTTGTTCCCCTCTGCTCTACTGGTGTTTCTCCCCTCCTATTTCGACCCTCACACATGTCATGCCTGCTCTACAACTTGTTTCCTCTCTCATTGCTCTTTCCCCTCAATCTTTGACTGCCTTAAATCTCTATGTCTTTCTGCCTTTCCTTCCCATCTCTGCTCCCTCTGTGCCTTTGGGGGTAAACCCCTTCTATCCCTGTTATGCTCACTTCCACCCCATTCTCTGGCACCCCAGGTGGCTATGCGTCCTTCCTGCTCGCTCTCTTCCTCTGCTGCTCCAATCACTAGTTTTCCTGCTTCTCTCCCAGCATCACAATGCCCTGAATGCCAAGTTTCCAACTCCTTTATCCTTGCCCCCGACGCTCTGTGCGAAGTGCTTCACCACTGTTGCTCCCCCTCCTAGCAGACTCAGGACTCCTCTCCCTATGTTACTCTCCTACCCCTGCAGATCCTGTTTTAATTACTTTTTTTAATTTTAGAGAACTGTGACTTTCAAGGCTAAATTTCTTTTATGTTACTGTCTCTTTGCAAGATCCTCAGCCATCATCTATATTCTCATCCGTTTTCCCACATTCTTCTCTCCTCAGTTTTTCTCTTTCTCAGTCCTTCTCTGTCTCTGCTTCCCCCGATCCACCTCGCCTACCTATTTGCAAGGATGCGACTGAAAAAGATGGCTGCCTACCAGAAGAGCACATTTTCCAATTGCGCTGAATACAGAAAAACAATGGCTGTCACATGGCTGACCCAGGTCACCTCCACAACGGGATAAGGGGAAGGGCTGGCTACAAAGGGGAGGCCTGCAGACCAGAAGGACCACCCACAGGAAGACGCAAGGGTCTGGGAGGAAGGGTGGAGGGGGCGTGGCGAGCTCTCCAGAATCCCAGGACCAGGGAGAGGACGCGGCCTCTCCAGGAGCAGGGAAGCCAGCACTGCCCTCCAGGGGCGGAGAGGTCGAGGCTGGGGGGTAGATGTAGTAAAGGGTATTTACTTATTTATGCAGCACACAGGATCTTCGTTGCCACGTGCGGGATCTTGCTTGCTGCCTGCGAGATCTTCCTTGCAGCATGCAAGATCTTTAGTTGCGGAATGTAGGGAACTTTAGTTGTGGCATGCGAACTCAGTTGCCGCATGTGGGATCAAGTTCCCTTACCAGGGATGGAACCCAGGCCCCCTGCATGGGGAGCACGGAGCCTTAGCCACTGGATCACCAGGGAAGTCCTGGTAAAGGGTTTCAAGCAAGAAAATGTCGAAAGGCAGCTCCCACGTGGACGAATGGCAGAAAAGCCAAGGGCAGGGACCAGCTTCAGGGTGAATTTAAACCCAAAGGAAAACATACACGACCTGCAACGGACCTGTAGGTGATGTCTGGATTTACTTGTATCCCGGATGCTGGGATATACGGTCGAGCCTTTCCCAAGACTCTGAGGACAGAACAAGGGGGACCACGCAGCACAGACTTACAGAAAAGGAGACTGTTAAGTGTGGACTTCACCCCGTGTACTCCAATTCCGGTTCCAGAGGAAAGTGTGGGCGGAGAGAAGCAGGGCTGGGGGTGGGGCGAGTAGGGAGCGCAGATCAGCGCAAAGAGGACTGTAGGGCTAACCGGGGAAGGTGCTTCCCTGGACCTTGACCTGTTTATTTTAAATTACTATCTGTGACAGTTTTTGGTGCTTTTTAAAAAAAATTATTTATTTTTGGCTGCATTGGGTCTTCGTTGCTGCGGGCGGGCTTTCTCTAGTTGCGGGGCGCGGGGGCTACTCTTCCTTGCAGTGCGCGGGCGCTACTCTTCCTTGCAGTGCGCGGGCTTCTCATTGTGGTGGCTTCTCTTGTTGCAGAGCATGGGCTCTAGGCGCGTGGGCTTTAGTAGCTGCAGCACGCAGGCTCAGTAGTTGTGGCTCGCGGGCTCTAGAGCACAGGCTCAGTAGTTGTGGCTCATGGGCTTAGTTGCTCAATGGCATGTGGGATCTTCGAAAACCAGGGCTCGAACCCGTGTCCCTGCATTGGCAGGCAGATTCTTAACCACTGCTCCACCAGGGAAGTCCTCTGTGACAGTTTTAAGGTAAAAGCTTAAAATTTTGTGGGCCACTTACGTTGGAAGCTGTTTCTGCGAGATGAAAACGGTTTCAAAAAAGCTGTTTAGCCAGCGGGCTGCTCCCATACCCTGCTAGCGAGGAGAAAGCAGTTCAGAGGCCTGGAAACTTGGGTCTCCAAGTGGTTGCTGTGGGGCAGTGGATTCAGAAATATTTCCTGCACTGGGCGTTTCTCTGTACTACAAACTAGAATAACAAATACAAAACTCTCCCTAAGTAGTAAGTGCTACTTCTTACTCACACCCTAAAGAACAGCTTTTCCATTTTCTCTTCACATTCAAGCAGGAGGCCAAACTCTGCTCAGTTCCAGAGACTCAGGGACAAGACCTAGCATCTGAGACTGGAGGACTAAGGCATGCAAAGTTTATCTTCTTATCATAGAAGTAAGCTGGTGAGGACTTCCCTGGTGGCACAGTGGTTAAGCATCCGCCTGCCAATGCAGGGGACACGGGTTCAAGCCCTGGTCCGGGAAGATCCCACATTCCGTGAAGAACTAAGCCTGTGAGCCATAACTACTGAGCCTGCACTCTAGAGCCTGCAAGCCACAACTACTGAGCCCACGTGCTGCAAATACTGAAGCCTGCGCACCTAGAGCCTATGCTCTGCAACGAGAAGCCACAGCAATGAGAAGCCTGCGCACCGCAACGAAGAGTAGCCCCTGCTCGCCACAACTAGAGAAAGCCTGCGTGCATCAAGATGCAACGCAGCCAATAAATAAGTAAATAAAGGCTCAACTTAAAAAAAAAACAAAGCTGGTGAGACATGAGCTACTCTTTACTTTTTTTGATGTGAACCATTTTTAAGTCTTTACTGAGTTTGTTACAATATTGCTTCTGTTTTATGTTTTGATTTTTTTGCCGCGAGGTATGTGGGATCTTAGCTCCCCAACCAGGGATCAAACCCACACCCCCTGCATTGGAAGGTTAAGTCTTAAACACTGGACCAGCAGGGAAGTCCCTAAGCTACTCTTTATTGATGTGATTAAGGGTCTTTTGTTTTCTGTTACTTGGGAAAGAGAACCACATGTGACTTGTCATTTGCATTGGGCATGGAGACAGTACACACATGTGGATGAACTGGATATTATGTTAACTCTTTTCCAATGCAGACATACCTGCTGGTAAGTCTTCACGTAATCCTGCAGAGGACCAATTGAGGATGTATCGAATCTAAATGAGTATACAATAACTGACCTGAATTATCCAATAAATAATCTTTCTTTCACATCAACACTGTGGGGAAATACAATTACAAACAAAACCAAAATGTAAGACCAATAAATTTCCTCCACCTGGGCAATACGGAAAGGAAACAGCTTTACTACTGAATAATCATTACTCACGATTACAGCACACAACCCGCTCCGTATCCTGATCCAGCCACTTGCTGGGATGGAACTGCGTGAGTCTTTAAACCTGTCTTTGTCCTAAATTCCTTCGTTTCTGAAACGAGAATACGTACTTTTTTCAGAGATGAAGATTCAGTAAGTTACTATGCATAACGCACTAATAACAGTGACTTGTATTTGAAGTGTAATATGAAAGACAATAGAAATAAAAATTAAGATCACTTATTAAAGGGGACTTCCCTGGTGGTGCAGTGGTTAAGAATCCATGCTCCCAATGCAGGGGGCCCCGGCTGGATCTCTGGTCAGATAACTAGATCCCACATGCATGCCGCAACTAAGAGTTCACATGCCACAACTAAGGAGCCCGCCTGCCGCAAATAAGACCCAGCACAACCGACTAAATAAAATTTTTTTTTTAAAGATCACTTATCAAAGAATCTGTATTATTTTGGTTAGTAACAAAGTCTAAGTGGAGCATAATGGGTATCAGTTGTCATGCTAAAAATAGCACAAATCTTATTTTCTCTGCAAGGAGCTCTGCCTTTGAATGTCAATACATCACTGGGAAATGGCAGAATGGCTTCCAGGCATTTGGCAATGGAGACTGTCTCCTTGTTACAAACTATAGTTGGACTCTTGGGGTCTATCTCATTAATCCTTTTGGTTTCATTGTGTGCTTCCTAAACTCCACATACTGGATTTTGAAACACCTGACCACAGCCAGCTCCCACATTAAAAGATTTCAGTTTACCCTCGTGACATTCTAAAATGAACTAAAGTCCTAAAGGCTTCCATGGAATTAAAGTCCTAAAGGAACTCTCTTCATATTTACAGTGCCTCTACTTTCTACCTCTCATTGAGTTATGTTCAGTTTCATTTCACAGAAATCCTAAAACAACCCACTGATTTAGAGATCCTTTGGTTTAAAACAAGGGAAATATGTGGGGAAAGAAAAAAGTCATGCTAAGAAAAAACTGTATTCAAAAAAAATTTTTTTTCTGGAATTCCCTGGCAGGCCAGAGGTTAGGACTCTGCTCTTTCAATGCAGGGACCGGGTTCGATACCTGGATAAGGAACCAAGATCCCCTAAGCTGCATGGTGCAGCCAAAAAAATATATATATATCTTACAGTAGAAAACAATGTAAGACCACATTGCTTAATACCACAATTTGAAATTGAGATTTTAGGAGCCTATCAATAATTGCTCTTCTAGTAAATTGCTTATATTATCTGATAAACACTTCCAAACACCCATTTTTATTAATCTAGGATAAAAATACTTTAGGCAATTTATTTAAAATTTTATAAGCATTTTCAACAACCATATTGCACAATGAGATGAATGTGTGCTGCAAACAAAAAAATATAATAAATTATTATCATAAAGAAAAGTGTGGTGTTCCTTATCAAGAAATCAGGAGTTTTAAGAGCAAATATTCACTGTTTTGTCAAACAGTTAGACTCCATTTTTCAGTGTTTGATTACTGACCCCTTTTAATCTTCTGGACAACATCTTCCCATTCCTCCTGAGCAAGCTGATAAAAAAAGCCTGAAGGGTCCCTTCTTTGACTTAACCTGGAAGTTCAAACGTCAAGCCTCATCAAGTAATTTCCTTAACACACCAAACCAATCACCATTCCCTGTTCTCTCAAACCATTTTTTGAACACTTTGGAAGTCTCTAACATGTGCCTATAAAGTTGAATTATGTAACATTCTTATAACATTTCAATGTTAATATCACCCTCAATAACCAAACCCAACTTGGGGTGGGGTTCTACTATACTCCAGTGAATGACCACAAGTGCAAACTAGCAAAAATAAAAACATTTTTTAAGGGTGAATATATGAAATTTCTCATTTCTCAAACAAAAACATTCCCATTGTATAATACTCATTTTTAAAAGAAAATCCATGAACACTGATCTTTTAAAATTAATACACTGATGGACTTCCCTGGTGGCGCAGTGGTTAAGTATCCGCCTGCCAATGCAGGGGACAGGGGTTTGATCCCAGGTCTGGGAAGATCCCACATGCCATGGAGCAACTAAGCCTATGCGCCACAACTACTAAGCCTGTGCTCTAGAGCCTGCAGGCTGCAACTACTGAAGCCCATGTGCCTGGAGTTTGTGCTCTACAACAAGGGAAGCCACGGCAATGAGAAGCCCATGCATCACAATGAAGAGTAGCCCCTGCTCGCCACAACAAGAAAAAGCCTGCGGTCAGCAATGTAGACTGCATGCAGGCAAAAAAAAAAAAAAGAAAGAAAGAAAGCACTGAGCTCAAAAAGGACAAAAACATTGTATGATTTTTAAATTTTCTAATATTTTGCGTGTGTTTACTATATTGCTGTTTTCCCATCATGTAAATCAAGGTGCATGTCATGACATTTATGTAAAGGACAAATGTGAAATTGCATGATTTTTAAATTTTTAGTGTTTTGCATACACTTACTACATTCCTATTTTCTCTTCATCTAAATCAAGGTGCAGGGGGCTTCCCTCATGGCGCACTGGTTAAGAATCTGCCTGCCAGTGCAGGGGACAGGGGTTCAAGCCCTGGTCCACATGACACAGAGCAACTAAGCCCGAGCACCACAACTACTGAGCCTGTGTTCTAGAGGTCTCGAGCCACAACTACTGAGCCTGCGTGCCACAACTACTGATGCCCAAGCGCCTAGAGCCTGTGCTCTGCCACAAGAGAAGCCACTGCAATGAGAAGCCCACACACAGCAACGAAGAGCAGCCCCTGCTCGCCAATAGAGAAAGCCCGCACAGCAACCAAGACCCAACAGAGCCAATAAATACATAAATAAATAAATAAATAAATAAATAAATAAAAATCAAGGTGCACACCATGACATTTATTTAGACACATGAAAGAACAAGAAAAAATACATTCACATACTGCATATTCAAGAATGGAGGCAGGTATTAAGGAGCGTTAAAAAAAAATACAACGGTCCCAAGGTGGAGAACAGTTGTAACATTCTGTTCAGTATGGACTGTCTTCTGATTAGTGAGATGTGAGCCCCGAGTAAAGTTTTCTCTCCCATTCACAACATTTGTGAGGTAATCTCCAGAATGAATTCTTCGGTGAATAAATTCCTCGTTTAAAAGACAGGACACAATAATTACATTTATCTGGTTTCTATCCATAATGAATTTTCTAATAAAGCCTAAGATGGGGACACCTGCTAAAAGCCTTGTCACATCAAAACATTATTGAAGTCTCTCACCAATATAGATTACCCGATGGTATTAACTTGGGCTTGAAATCACACTGAAGAATTTGCCATGCTCATTATATCTGTAAGACTGCTCACTAGTATGTAATCTCCAATGACTTGATAGGGTTGAACTTTGACTAAAGGCTTTGCCACACTCATTACATTTGTAAGGTTTCTCTCCAGTATGAATTCGTTGGTGCCTTCTAAGGGCTGGCTTCTCATGAAAGGCTCTGCCACACTCATTACATTTGTAAGGTTTCTCTCCAGTATGAATTCGTTGATGCCTTCTAAGGGCTGGCTTCTCACGAAAGGCTCTGCCACACTCATTACATTTGTAAGGTTTCTCTCCAGTATGAATTCGTTGATGCCTTCTAAGAGCTGGCTTCTCACGAAAGACTTTGCCACAGCTGTTACATTTGTAAGGTTTTTCTTCAGTATGAATTCTCTGATGAGCTGCAAGGTTTCCTTTCATACTAAAAGCCTTGCCACACTCATTACATTTGTAAGGTTTCTCTCCAGTATGAACTTGTTGATGCCTTCTAAGGGTTTGCTTCTCACGAAAGAACTTGCCACACTCATTACATTTGTGAGGTTTCTCTCCAGTATGAATTCTCTGATGATTCACAAGGACTGATTTTTGATTAAAGACTTTGCCACATACATCACATTTATATGGTTTTGCTCCTGTATGGATTATCCCATGTTTCCTGAGGCCTGTTTTAAAAAAAAAGGTTTTCCCACACAAATTACATTTGTAAGGTTTCTCTCCAGTATGAATTCTCTGGTGGCATTTAAGGTATGAATTTTGACCATAGACTTTATCACATACATCACATTTATATGCTTTTGCTCCTGGATGGATTATCTCATGTTTCCTGAGGTCTGTGCCACAAAGAAAGGTTTTCCCACAAAAACTACATTTGTAAGTTTTCTCTCCAGTATGAATTCCCTGATGACGTTGAAGGGATAGATTCTGACGATAGACTTTGCCACATATATCACATTTATATAATTTCTCTTCAATGTGTGTTATCTGATGTCTTTTGAGGTATGAGCCGATAGGAAAGGTTCTGCCACACTCATTGCATTTGTAAGGCTTCTCTCCAGTATGAATTCTCTGGTGAACTGCAAGACTTCCTTTCTTATCAAAGACCTTTCCACACTCATTACACTTGTGAGGTTTCTCTCCAGTATGAACTCTTTGATGAATTATAAGGTATGAATTTCGGCAAAAGACCTTGTCACATACACCACATTTATGCAATTTCTTTCCTATATGGATTCTCTGATGACTCCTGAGATTTGAGACCTGATGAAAGGTTTTGCCACACTCATTACACTTGTAAGGTACTTCCCTGTGTGGGCTCTGGTCTTGTGTCAGCATTGAAGGATGCATAAAATCACTCCCATATCTGTTAGAAATGTTGTTTTGGACAGGAGGAGAAATTCCCTGAAGTGGTGAAAATGAGGAACTACTGCTGATACTCTTAACAGCTTTATTAAATTCATCAATTTTCTGTTTACTTTTAAACATATGCAGTTCATCCTGAAGGCTTAGCACAAGTCTATTTCCAGTAGGCTTGTTTTTTGCATCCCTTCCACCATGTGGACTTCTATCAGTGACATCTTGGTGACAGGATATGGGGATATTTTTGTAACTTCTTCCATCATCTCTCCACTGAAAACCATGGTCATACGTATTTTCCTGAATTTCCGGGAGGTAAAAATGTTTGATTCCCTGGCTTTCATGTCTTTCCAACATCAATGTTTGGAATACTCCACCTTTATCGGTGTTTGACTTTAGTTGTAATTTCTTGATCACATGTATATGAGAGATATCTACAAGACATAAAGAAACATACATGACCTACTCATTACAATGCATGAGTAAATGTTTCATGTTAAATACATGATATTATGCCAAAAGTAATACTTATAAACAATCAGTTATGAAACTGTGCAACCATTATGTTCAAATTTTTAGAAACACTAAATAGGATTACTTACTAAAGAAAGTGATAACACGTAATTCAAATTAAATTTAGGGTAGCCTAGGGGATTGGGATTGACATATATACACTAATACGTATAAAATATATAAGTAATAAGAACCTGCTGTATAGAAAAAAAAAAGTTTAGGGTAGCCTAATTTGAAACACACTATGACAAAACATTCAAACTGTAAAAACTTATATGAGCTCTCAAAAAAAGTGTTTTTCCACCATGACCACAAAGGACATAGCAATTAACATTAAACACACAAATATCAGGAGTTTAGAGAAAAAACTTCCAGGGAGATGCAAGAAGAAGTGACCCATGGAACTAAAAACATTATTCACTCACCCCTACTTGAAATAGTTTCTGAGTCATCATAACTCACATAATGATTTAGGTTGTGTCCTGAGAAAGTTGTTCAATGGATGAACGGGGATCATTTTTACAGTGTGAGTAATGAGGCAACTGAAAATACTGAAGTTAAAAGAAAAGAACTGGCCTAGCAAGTAACATAATACTGCTCCATTTTTAACAGTGGGAATTATAGTATAGGTATGGAATAGACACCGAAGACATTTAAAAACAGAGAAAATGAAGTATTATAGAAACAAAGCAGGTTTACATCTATCACATTGTTTCCTATGTAAGGCATAAACTGAATATTCCATAAGTCCCATTTCCATGCATATATTCACAAAGAGCACACATAATATTCTGTAAGATGTACAAGAATGTTCTTAGCTGAAACTTGAAGGAAAAGCCAGAAGAAGGCCATCAAAAACAGATGAATGAGTTTATGCTACACACAAACATACAGATATAAAGAAATCGAAAACTATAAAAGTTCCTCAACATATTTTAAAAAGAACGAAACTATCATAGAATGCAGGAATTACAGTGTTGGCAATATATCGAAAAAAATGAAATCACTGTCTTAGAAGATACCTGCACTCCCACATTTATCAGAGCAGTAATCACAATAGCCCAGGCATCAAAACAACCTAAGTGTCCAACAGATGAATGGGGAAAAACCCTGTGAGATATACATTTACCCGTAAAGAAGAAAAAATTCCTACTAGTTTTAACAATACAGATGGACAAGGGTATAGACTCAGTAAAATAATCCACAGAGAAAGAATAATACTCAATAATCTCACTTATGTGTAAAACATATCAAAAAAAAAAGGGCCAAACTAAGAGCCACATAGAGTAGCATAGTGATTACCAAAGGTTAGGGGTTAGTAGAATGGGACGATATTCATCAAAGGAGTAAATTTACCGTTTTAAGTTGAAAGATTTCTACATATTTAATGTACAGCATGGTAATTATAATTATCAATGCTATACTATATGCCTAAAAGTTGATAAGATGGTAGACCTTAAATGTTCTCACCACACATAAAAAACTGTAATTATGTCACAGATGAATGTATTAAGTGACCTACCAAGGTAATTATTTTGCAATACAACTGGATCAAATCATTACCCAGTACACCTTAAACTGATAAAATGATATATATTAATTAAATTTCAATAAATCGGGAAAGAGAAAATACAAATAAGTAGACAAAAAAGGTCGTGGTTTACCAAGTAAATAAATTTCAAGAAGCTTAAAAAATAAATGATTTAGAAGTAGAAAATATGCCAAAACTAGCAGATGTAAAAAGCATTAGATTACAAATCAATGAAATAGAGAATAAAAACTACATAAAATCGCAAGCTCACAACTTGGTTCTTACCTACATCTAGAATAACTACCAAAAAGAGTAAAGATTCAAATTACTGAAATCAGAAATGAAAGAGAGGACATTACAACTGATTCGACAACAATCAAGAAAATTAGAACAAAATATTAAGACAATTCTATTCCTAAGTATTGGATAAGCTATTAGTAGTAAATAAATTCTTAGAAAAACAACCTATCAACGCTAACCAAAGAAGAAATTAAAATCTGTATGAACCAGTAACTGGAAAAAAGATGGAATCACTAATCAAAAACCATTCAACAAGAAAGGCCAGATACATTCACTGCAGAATTCTAGACAACATTTCCGAACAATTAAGAATACTCTTCCTAAACTCTGCCCCCAAAGAAACACAGAGAAAGGAACAGTTGCAAACTCTATGACACGAGAATTACCCTAATACCAGCGCCAGACAGACATTAAAAAAAAACACAGACTAAAATCTCTATAATGAATAATCATGCAAAAAGCATCAATACAGCAATGGTAAGTTAAACTTAACACCAAATTAAAAGGATTATATACCATAAAAAAAGAGAATACATTCTTGAAATATCAGGATGCTTCAACATATGAAAACATTCAGTGTAAAACAATATATTAAGAGAATGAAAAAAGGACTTCTCTGGTGGCAGAGTGGTTAACACTCCGCCTGCCAATGCAGGGGACACGGGTTTGATCCCTGGTCCAGGAAGATCCCATGTGCCACGGAGCAACTAAGCCTGTGCACCACAACTACGGAGTCTGTGCTCTAGAGCTCACGAGCCACAACTACTGAGCCCGAGTGCCACAACTACTGAAGCTCACACGCCTAGAGCCCGTGATTCGCAACAAGAGAAGCCACCGCAATGAGAAGCCCATGCACCGCAATGAAAAGTAGCCCCCGCCTGCCGCAACTAGAGAAAGCCCGCACACACCAATTAAGACCCACACAGCCAAAAATAAGTAAATAAAATAAATAAATGTATACAAAAAAGAGAATATAAAAAAAACTCTACATGATGGTCTCAATTGATGCTGGCAAAGCATTTGAAAAAAGTCAACAGCCTTTCATGATAAAAATACTCAATAAACCAAAAAAGTTTTAAAAAGCTACCTCAACACAATAAAGGACATGTATTGACAGCACACAGCTAACATTATGCTCAATGGTGAAAGAATGAAAGCATTCCCTCTAAGATCAGATATAGGACAAGGATACTTGCTCGTACTTCTAAAAACTTATTCCTGGAAATCCTAGTAGGAACAAGAACAAGTAGGGAAAAAAAGAGGTGAAAAGTATCCAAATATAAAAAGGAAACAAAATTATCTGTTTAAAACCAATATGATCTAATTTGTAGAAATCCTGAAGATTCTGGAAAAAAACAAAAAACCCTGCTAGAAATAATAAATTACCAGACATTTAATCAACATGCAAAAATCAATGTATTTCTATACAACAAAAATTCCACCATGAGGGGGCTCTTCCCCAATCAAACACTCACATGGAAAATAGAAAACAAAAACACTAATAGTAACATCAAATACATAGACCTGATGATAAAATTAATAAAATCAAGACCACTTGTTACCCATAGAAATGTACAAAATGAAAGCAGCAGTGCTGTAAACAAAAAAATGATAGCTCACCGCTTCCCTGGTGGCGCAGCGGTTGAGAGTCCGCCTGCCGATGCAGGGGACGCGGGTTCGTGCCCCGGGTCTGGGAAGATCCCACGTGCCGCGGAGCGGCTGGGCCCGTGAGCCATGGCCGCTGAGCCTGCGCGTCCAGAGCCTGTGCTCCGCAACGGGAGAGGCCACAACAGTGAGAGGCCCGTGTACCGCAAAGAAAAAAAAAAAAAAAAAAATGATAGCTCACCGTTGATAAAGTTATCACTCCACAAACTGTCTCATTAAGATGCTTCAAAATTAGCTGTGACGGTATCATGAATAACAGCACGCACAGGCAACAAAAAATATGGCATGACAGTTGAGTCAATAGCCTAACACGAGAACGTGAACTTGGACAATGTTATCCCTAGGAGAAATTCCTATACCATTTCTTGAGGCTCAAACGATGGTAATTATTACATGTGAACAACACTGTCACACTGCCTTTGAGACATGTTTTGGTGATATTCCTCAAAACCAGAAAAAGAACTGCAAAGACTTATCAGGGTCTTACAACATATGAGGAAAAGTATTCTCCATCAAAAATTTTCTGTTACACAGCAAACCCATTCCACAGTATACACCAGAAGTTGTCCATTAACTACAGGTACATTATCAAGGCAAGAAACAAGATAAAATTTCAGTCCCTAGAAGCATGTCTTTCAAAAGCAACTTTCAAAGGCAAAATCATGCAAACTTAGGAGAATATTAAATCAGAAAGAATATATATTTCCTGACTAAGTACAGCAATAAGAAATGAAAAAAATATAAGATATGGGGTTCAGATATTATGGATCCTTCACATGGAATCATGAGCTCAACCCATAGATTCCAAGATAAAGCCAGAAAGATTCATATGTTCTCCTCATGTAGGACTGGGGATTAAAACGAGGATCTCTCTGTCCACCGTCTTTAGAGTTTCCGTAAGTTACAATAACAGAAGATCTAATGCACCTCCCTATTACACACATCCCTGATGGGTGTGGCAAAGTCAGAACAGAAGAAATGGCCGACAGATCTAAACAAGCAGACAGGGCTTGAGAAAGCTCCATGCAGGTTCTGAGGTGCCAGATGGAATGAAACAGCAAGCAGTGTTTTCCCATCTTATAATTAGATCTTCTAAAAAATATCAGATGGGGGTGTAATCCAGAAAGGCCCAGGGACTGGAGTCTGGAGACATCAGCTCTGATCTATATGGACTGAAAACTGAGCATTCAAGAGAATCAAGTCCAAAAGGAGAGATGAGAGAGCAAGAGACCCCTTTATTTTAAAAGTTTCCAGTTGGGTGTTTTAAATACTTAAGCACTGGAAAAAACTCCTGATGTATCATGAAGTGGGCAGACCATCTAAAGAAATGGCACCTTTAAACTCCTGTGGTCTGAGACATCAAGGCATTGAGTTCAGTTAAGCAAGGCATGGGATTCCAAAAGGCAAATAAGGGTAAATGCAAAGATACCCTCCCAACATTTGGAGGGAAGTTATCCTCACCCACAAAGATCAGGTTTCTGTAGGTCTCCAACATCACGTCCCTGTACAAGGCCCTCTGAGCAGGGTCCAGGCATTCCCACTCCTCCTGAGAGAATTCGATGACCACATCATTCAGTGTCAACTGACCCTGAAAGAAAAACACATTTCACCAAGTGTGAAAGAGTTTATTTGTGTATTCCACTAATAAAACACTGATTCAGAGGCTTCCCTGGTGGTGCAGTGGTTAAGAATCCGCCTGTCAGTACAAGGGACACGGGTTTGAGCCCTGGTCCGGGAAGACCCCACATGCCGCGGAGCAACTAGGCCAGTGCACCACAACTACTGAGCCTGTGCTCTAGAGCCCGCGAGCCACAACTACTTAAGCCCGCACTCCTAGAGCCCGTGCTCCACACCAAGAGAAGCCACCATGATGAGAAGCCCACACACAGCAACGAAGAGTAGCCCCCGCTCGCCGCGACTAGAGAAAGCCCACGCGCAGCAACGAAGACCCAATGCAGCCAAAAATAAATAAATAAAATAAATAAATTTATATATATAAAAAAATACAGATTCAAAATTAGAAAAGTTATTACTATTATACATTAATTTAACAGATTCAGAAAAAAATTATTGCAATAGTAAAGTTAAAAACTTACTGGAAAATTAAAAACCATTAAAAAAAAAAGGAAAAAAATATTGCAATTAAGTAAGAACATTTCACCAAACATGATGATCAGAAGGAAACATTCGGAGAGAAGTTAACGCTCTTACACTGTTGATGGGAATATACATGGATGCAGCCATTATGGAAACCAGTGTGGATGTTCCTCAATAAATTAAAAATGGAGTTGCCATATGTTCCAGCAATCCCACTCCTGGGCATATATCCAGACAAAACTATAATTCAAAAGATACATGATCCCCTATGTACATATGATCATTATTTACAAAATTCAAGACATGGAAACAACCTAAATGTCTACTGACAAATGAATGGATAAAGAAAATGTGGTGTATACACACACACACACACACACACACACACACACACACACACTGGAATATTACTCAGCCATAAAAAAGAATGAACGAATGTAATTTGCAGCAACATGGATGGATCTAGAGATTATCATACTAAGTGAAGTAAGTAAAAAGACAAATACCGGGGCTTCCCTGGTGGCACAGTGGTTGTGAGTCTGCCTGCCGATGCAGGGGACACGGGTTCGTGCTCCGGTCCAGGAAGATCCCACATGCCGCGGAGCAGCTGGGCCTGTGAGCCATGGCTGCTGAGCCTGTGCGTCCGGAGCCTGTGCACCACAATGGGAGAGGCCACAACAGTGGGAGGCCCATGTACAGCAAAAAAAAAAAAAAAAAGGACAAATACCATGTTATCACTTATATGTGGAATCTAAAATATGACACAAATGAACATATTTACAAAACAGAAATAGACTCACAGAGAACAGACTTGTGGTTGCAGGATTGTGGTGGGGGGAGGATTGCAAGTTTGGGATCAGCAGATGCAAACTAGTATATATAGGATGGAGAAACTACAAGGTCCTACTGTAGAGCACAGGGAACTAAATTCAATATCCTGTGATAAAACATAATGGAAAAGAATATAAAAAAGAATATATATGTATAACTGAGTCACTTTGCTATACAGCAGAAATTAACACAACATTGTAAATCAACTATATGTCAATAAAATTAAAAAAAAAAAAAAGAGGGAAATACTCAATGCATTCCCACTGACATTACAGTGGAGTGAAGGGGACTGGCCAGGGCTCCTGACTTTCACCACTGTACGGTGTGGCTGAGCAGGGACCACTAGAGGAAGTAACAGAAGGAAAACAGAGAGCTAGAGCAAGACACAGAAACAGCATGTCGGAGAGTTGAAACTGTTAACATTCACAAATCTAAGGACACAGAAAAGCTAAAAGTGAAAGGATGGAAAAAGATATTACGTCCCAAAGATAGCAGGGATGACTGCATAATATCAGACAAAATGAATTGAAGAGAAAAACTGACATAAGACAGAAAGGACATTATATTATCATAAAAAAGGGTAACTCTCCAAGATATAACAATTATAAATAGTTAAACACCTAACAGAGTTCCCCTCAATACCCCAGTGTTAAGTACCAGTGGAAGCAAAGAGAAGACCAAAAGGAAACAGAGCACCCGAACAACACTATAGACTCACAAGACCACAGAGATCACCCCATCCAACAAAAGCAGAAAACACATGCTTCTCAAGCACACATGAAACGTTCTCCATCACAGACTACATGTTAGGCCACAAAGCAAATCTTAGCAAATTCAAGAAGACTCAGATCATAAAAAGTACTTCTCCAAACATAATGAAACCAAACTTCAAAAAGCCAGCAGAAGGAAAACAGAAAAATTTCTAAAATGTAGAAATTAAACAATTCATTTTTAAACCAATACTTGAAAGAAGACAAGGAAACTTTTAAAATATCTAAATGAAAGTAACAACACAACATACTAAAAATTATACAGTCAAGCAGTACAAAAAGCGAAGTCTGCACTACTAAACATCTACAACAAAGAAGAGAAGAGAACACAAATCAGGAATATATTCACTACAAGGAAGGAGACAAAGAAAAAACTAAACAAAAATTCCTAGAAACAGAGAAGAATGATTAGATGAGAGATAAATGAAACAGAATGTAGGAAAACAAAATAAAAATCAACCAACCAAGAGTTGGTGTTTTAAAACTAGGCAGGAAACAGATTGCAACTGATGTCACAGAAATGTTTTTTAAAGGAAGATAAGGGAGAACTATGAACAATAATGCCTACAAATTACATAATCTAGAAGATACAGGTAAATTCTTACAAAAGTCAAACCTAACCAGGCCTAATCATTACAAAATAAAAACTTTGAGTAGAATTATAACTGGGAGATTCAAGCAATAATCAAAAATCTCAAACAAGGAAAAACCCAGGACAAGATAGCCTCACTACTGAATTGTACCAAACATGTACAGAAGAATTACCTCTAATCCTGCTAAAATCTTCTTGAATTGTCTCAGAGGGAACACTAGCAAATTCCTTCTATGGAGCCTGCTTAACTCTGATAACAAAGCCAGAAAAAGACGCAAGAAAAGAAAACTACAAAACCAATATCACCCGCACATACGGATGCAAAATCCTTAACAAAATACTACAAAATCAAATTCAACAACACATGAAAATGTATTCAAATCAACACCAAGTACATTTTATTCCTATAATGCAAGGCTGACTCAACATAGAAAAATCAATTAATGTGATATAACACGTTGACAGAATAAAGGAAAAAACCACATATGATCATCTCAATTGATGCAGAAATAACCCACTTAACAAAATGCAGCAACCTTTCAAGATATAAACCCTCAACAAACCAGAAACAGTAAACTATCTCGACATAATAAACACCAAATATGAAAAGAACACAGCTAACATTATACTCTACAGTCAAAGACTAAAAGGTTTTCCTCTCACATCAGGAGGAAGGCAAGCATGCACACTCTCTGCTATGCACACTCACTACTATTCAACGAAGTACTGAAAATCCTACCAAAGCCATTAAATGGAAAAAGAAATCAAAGATACTCAAACTAAAAAAGTATTATCTTTTCTTGTGGGCGACAAGTTTTATACGGACAAACGACAAAGATACTACAAGAAAACAACTATGTCGGGACTTCCCTGATGGCGTAGTGGTTAAGAATCCGCCTGCCAATGCAGGGGACACGGGTTTGAGACCTAGTCCGGGAAGATCCCACACACCCCGGAGCAACTAAGCCCGCACGCCACAACTACTGAGCCTGTGCTCTAGACCCTGCGAGCCACAACTACTGAGCCCGTGTGCCACACTACTGAAGCCTGTGCACTCTAGAGCCCATGCTCCGTAACAAGAGAAGCCATCACAGTGAGAAGCCCAAGCACCGCAAGGAAGAGTAGCCCCCGCTCACTGCAACCAGAGAAAGCCCGCGCAAAGCAACGAAGACCCAATGCAGCCAAAAATAAATAAATTAAATTAAAAAAAAAAAAACCAACTATGTCAAAAAATTTTTTTAGAAAAGTTGGATAAAAAAATTAACATGCGGCTTCCCTGGTGGCGCAGGGGTTGGGAGTCCGCCTGCCGATGCAGGGGACACGGGTTCGTGCCCTGGTCCGGGAAGATCCCACATGCCGCAGAGCGGCTGGGCCCGTGAGCCATGGCCGCTGAGCCTGCGCGTTCAGAGCCTGTGCTCTGCAACGGGAGAGGCCACAACAGTGAGAGGCCCGCATACTGCAAAAAAAAAAAAAAATTAACATGCAAAAATCAGACAAATTTCTATATGGAATGAAAAATGTCAAAAAAAATTAAGAGAACAATCCCATTAACTACAGCATTAAAAAGTACAGAATACTTAGGAATAAATTAGCCAAGGAGGTAAGAGACTTGTACACTGAAAACTACAAAACTTGTTAAAAGTAATCCAAGGAGATACACACAAATAAAAAGATATCCTGTACGCATGCACTGGAAGACTTAATACTCTTAAAATGACCACAGTCCCAAAGTGTTCTATAGATACAACAGAATCCCTGTCAAAATTCCAATGGCAATATTTGCAGTGACAGAAAAAAACATAGTACAAAAAAACATGCTTTGCAGTAATACAAAAAAAATGGTAAAAAAACATGCTAAGAGAATCTCAAAGGACCCAAAATGGCCAAAATACTCTTGAAACAGGAGGGAGATGGAGAAGGCCCGATTTGAATATCAAAACATTACATACAAATTAATCAAGATGGTGTGGTACTGGCATGAACACAGACACATAAAGCCAAGGAACAGAACAGAATGCTCACAAATAATCCTTGGCATGTGTGTAAAATGTACTCACAAGGGTGGTTAAGACTATACAATGGAAAAAGGACAGTCTCAGTAACAAATGCTGCTGGGAAACTGGGTATCTACCAGCAAAAGAAGAAAGTAGGAACCTTACTTGCATAAAACAGAAAAACCTCTCTGTCATGAAAAAGGCAATCAACCGAGTGTAAAGACAACCCCTGAGAAACGGAGGGGAAGAAAGTGACTTGAAGAATGCAGAGAATTTTGTTGATTTCCTAGTTTAAAATCGATGATGGAATAAAACACCCTCTATCACTGACGTCTCTTTCTGAACTTACCATTCCATTTTCCAATCATTCAGATTTTGAAGTCAGTGACTCACTCGTTTAGCTTCTAGTGTATTATAAAAAAAATCAGAACAAATTTCTTGTTATTGTTCAGTTTTCCAGAATTTACCAAGTATTGTGCATATTCAGATGATTCCATGAACAGGATGGGTCACGGAATTTACAGAGAGCAGACAGTGCACTCAGATGAAGCCCTTTAACAATACCTGCTGCCCAATAGCACTGAGACCCCATCCACAATCCATAGGTGTGAAGCCCTGTCTAAGACAATGTCCACTGGAACCTCAGGGGAGATGAAATCTAAGTGGACATGACAGGGACTGAGGGAAGGCACTAGATAAGGGTGAATGTACACGTGTCAGGAAGGATACCTCAGAGTGAGACAAGATTAGCAAGTCCAATTGAGGGCACTTCAGAAAGGAAAGACTGAAGAATCAACTGAGAATATGACTTTACCTCAGAAACAGCCATTCCTGACTCCTTTTCTTTTCCTTCTCTTAACGGCTTCTTTGTTAGACAACAGGACTCTTTAGAGGTCTACCCTGAGAGTTGAAAACATGCTGTTTAACGCTTAGAATCAACACACCCCCTTCCTGAGTCACCACCACACGCACAGGGAAGCCCTCAGCATGGGGAACAGACGGTCCTCTGCTGCCCACTGTCCCAGGAGGGACTCAGGACAGTAACTCCCACACAGAGACCAACCAGTGAGTTTTCCCACCCTTTCCTTCAGATCAGGCTCCCCTCCTGGTGAGGCCCTCACGTACCCAGCAGCAGCGGGCACCTCAGCTGGACCCGACGATCCCCTTCAGGTCACAGACTAGCCCTGATCCATCCCCACGCAGAGCAGAGCTCTCACCCTCAGCCCAGACCTCAGCCCTCAGAAACGGGGGGACTCAGAGTCACGATGCTCAGTGAGGGATCCGGATTGGAACATCCTGGGGCACTTAAAGGATTACTGATGTTGGGCCCCATCCATACTACTGGAAAGCAACCCTCTTGTTATATGAAGGGGATATATGAAGATGCCTTCCTCAAATCAATGTGACGTCTGGGTGGAACACCACCTAGAGGGGGTGAGCCCAGCACACCTCCCACGTTCTTTTTTACCCAAGCTCTATTAATGTATAGTTGATGAATAAACATGGTGTACATATAAGATATACAATGTGATTATTTGGCAGATATATACACTGTGTAATAATTATCACAAAAATTACATGTGAAGACACCCAAGGACCCACTAAACCTAAGATACCATATTTTCATTTACAATTCCAGCCCAAACACTGTCATCTCCAAAACCTACTAATTAAAAAAGAGACACATGCAATAATGCACATGCCACAGTCAGACCACAACCTCTCCCAATGAAATGGTCCAAATTCTCCACTGTATCTTTCAAAGTGCATCTGAAATGGTCTTCACTTACACAATAAAATGCTCAAAAATACCAAAGGCAACCCACAAAATGATCTCTAAAATTTTCTGTGTATCACTTTAAGGGTTGCACGATGATTCTCCCACTCTCAAAAGACCCAATGTGAGTCAATGTATAGAGTGGATTCTGTGGGGCACCCTATAGATCCATTCCCTCAGGACCATGGTGTCCATCCACCTGTACCCAGAGCGTGCTGTTCGCACAGCTCAGGTCATATCTCTAAGAGCATAGGAGGAAAACGTTTGTCTTTCTAAATCCACTGCCTTCATTCCTACTCAGGTGTGACCATGAGTTATTCAATGCAACCAATGCATGCAGTCCTCAGTCTCAGCATCTATGTCCCAGGGAACCTGAGCTAGGACTTTATAGCAATTCAGTTCGTGTAATGAAGCCCACAACTACACAAACCACCTCAAGGTTCTCCAACCACAATTAAGACATCCCTTTCAAATAGCTCTCCAGATGCCTTGACCCCACAAGGGACAGGTGCCCACACCATTCACTTGGCTCACCTTGAAGCCCACACTGGCTGCCACATCCCTCCTGAAGACCCCTACAGGCTCCCCTCCAACTTCCCAACTGTTCTGCCTCTCCTCCATGCACTCATGGGCAAACAGGGCTAAAAGGCACAAGGACCTCTCAGCAAAGCCATCGCAACAGGAATACACACAAGCTGCCACCCAAAGGACACTGGCCATTCATTATGAAGGTCAAGAAGTCGGCCATCCTGGGAGAACTGACCAACAATTGGGAACGTCATCAAGTCCAGTTACAAAGGCATTTGAGTTCATTTACGGAGACTCAAAGCAGACAGTTCCCAAGTTTCTTGACTCCTGTTCTACCCACTCACAGGTAATTAAAAGATACCCTAGCTCTTTGAGGGAGGCCTCCTTCATGCCCCATTAGGCTGCAGACTTCTGCCCACCCTTAGCACAGGGAAACCACTATCCTGGACTCTGAGCAGATGACCTGCCGGGAGGCAAGGCTCCTGTCCAAGGTGGCGACTGGTCACCTGATGTGCACAGCCCGGAACGCCTGGGGGCTACAGCAGAGCACTGACACAGCACACTAAACATGGGAACACGTCACCCACTGCTTGAGGACACCAGCTGTACAGGACTTTTTAGGCCTCCCTACATCTTTTTGCTCTTGAGTAAACAGACACATAAGGTAAGGATCAATTAGAGTGGAAATGTCCAAAACAAGTGTGAGAGCCATCCTCATGACCTGCCCTGGCACCTTGATATTTCCTGAGGTGTGCTCAGCCCAATCAATAATCCTAGCCTTGAAAACATCCCCGGAGTGAGGTCGCAGTGACCCTGGGAAGACGATGAACACTGCGTCCTTCAATGGAGGTTAAGCACGAAAGACTAACAATAATCAATACACAAGTACATTTCTGTTGAGGGTGACTGATACAGAGGCAGTAAAACCTGGGTAATTTCACAGAGGTTGTCGGAGGAAGGGGAAGTGGACACATCTCTGAAGTAAGATGTGGAGGACAAAGGGCCTGAGCCATGGTGACTTAAAGGCCAATGGCAAGAACAGGAACTAAGATCTGAGACAGAAAACGTGTTGGGGTTTGGGAGCAGAAAAAAGGTGAATGTGTGCGGGGCAGAGTGAACCATGAGGAAACGGTCACTTCCCGAGATGAGGCTGGAGACACTGGCAGGGCCCTGAGCATGATACAGGGCTGTGTAGACACAGTGAGGAGACTGGACTTTGTCATAAAGACAAATAACAGCCAGTGGAGATATGAGTGCCAGGACTGACTAAACTCTCTTCAAATTTAAACCTTCTGCAGAGAAATACATCTCACTATGGTCACTTTAACTCTGAGCCTATGTTCTTCTCTCCTTTCTAGGGTTTGTTTTACTTTTACATTCTGGGATGACTGTGACCCATTTAAATTTCTAAATACAACTAGACACTCTCTTCAAAAATAATGGCCACACATAGCGGGTGGGGGTGGGAGGTGGGGAGGGATGATGGGAGATTCAGATTGACATATACACACTACGATGTATAAAATATATAACTAATGAGAACATTCTGTATAGCACAGGGAAGGCTATACAGTATGTTCTCAGTGCTCTGTGGTGACCCAAATGGGAAGGAAATCCAAAAAAGAGGGGATATGTATACATATGGCTGATTCACTTTGCTGTACAGCAGAATCCGACAGTCTAGCAATGTAAAGAAACTATACTCCAAATAAAAAGTGCTCCTTATACTTTTTATTAAAACTTTATCCAGGGCTTCCCTGGTGGCGCAGTGGTTGAGAGTCTGCGTGCCGATGCAGGGGACACGGGTTCGTGCCCCGGTCCGGGAGGATCCCACATGGCGCGGAGTGGCTGGGCCCGTGAGCCATGGCCGTTAAGCCTGCGCGTCCGGAGCCTGTGTTCCGCAACGGGAGAGGCCACAACAGTGAGAGGCCCGCGTACCGCAAAAAAAAAAACAAAAAAAAACTTTATCCATAAAATAAGACTATAATGATATATACTAAAAGGTTAATACCATCTTTTTTGAGTGGGATTAGAAATGATTTCCATTTTCTTCTTTTTGTCTGTATTCTCACATAGGCTTGATATTACCTTTGCAATAAATATATACTCAAAGAAAAAGAACTGCCACACACAGACACACACCCAATTTCACCAATGAATTCAGGGGTTAAGTGTTGCTCAGACTGAGATTTTCTGGTCTAGTCTCTCATCTCTATGTTACGAGTAGGCTCCCTGAGGCCCAGAGGGGACACATTTCAGAGAAGGTCTGAATTGACTGAATAGAATCAGGTGGAAATGAATTCTGAAAAGGTCACCCGAAGGGCCTCTTCCTTTCAAGAGGTACCATGTGCTGACAGTTTTTTCTTACCCAGTCCCCTACTCCCTGACAAGAAATGTAAGGGGGTGAAGGACAACTGTCTGAGTCAAGTCACTGCCCCATGGCTGAATAGGAACTGAATATGGAAGTCATCTTATGATTCAAATAATTACAAAATTCACAAATCTTATAGCCAGTTTTTCAATTCTGATCCTTGTCTATGTAAGTCAAACAAACAAAATTTACATTTATTAGATTTTAAAGCCAGAAATCAATATATCACGACTTAATTGTCCACATCCAAAGAACTCACCACCCGTCTGGACTCTGTTTCTCCCTTGTACCTGCACTACTACATCTTTACATTTCATTAGGTTTACCTGTCTCCCTATTCCTTTCTCTGTGGCCATCTTTTTCTTCCCTGTTTCCTCCCTCACGCCAGTCCTGCCCCACTCTGCGACCTGTTTCCCCTCCTGTTGCTCTCTCCGCCCAACCTTTCTGACTGTCCTAAATATCCGTATCTTTCTGCATCTTTCTTCCCAATCTCGGCCCCGTCTCTCATCCCCTGGTTACGGCGTTTCCATCCCTGCCACAGTCCCTTCCGCCCCAGTCTGTGGCACCACCAGGTGGCTGTACTTCCCATCGGCTCTCTCTTCCTCTGCTCTTCTAGTTCCTAGTTGTTCCTCTCTTGCTCTCCCAGAGCCACTTGGCTCTGAAGGCCAAGGTTCAAACTCCATTCTCTCCGGCCACTCTCTGCGTGAAGTGCCTCGCCACTGTATTGTCCTCCCTTCTACTGGTGATCCAGGGCCCCTCTTCCCACGCTGCAATGCCATGGGTTCTCCCCCATTCCTTCAACATCTCAGTTATTCCTACTTCTCCGTCAGTCGCTCCGTCTCTACTCCTCCTACTTCCCATCGCCCACGTGCTTCCAGAAATGGCGACTGAATAACACACCCGCCTAACGGAAAAGAGATACTTTCCAGCGAGTGGAATTCGGGAAGAAACAACACTGGGTGTCACACGGCTGGCCCAGGTCACCTCCCCCTTCGCAGGGTGAGGGGAAGGGCTGACTACGAAGGGGAGGCCGGGGGAGCAGAAGTGTTGGCCTTTGGAGACGCGAGGACAGAGGGGCGGGGAGGGAGAGAGGGGGTCTCAGGAGAGGGGCGGGCTCTCCAGAACCCCAGGACCGGGGAGAGGACGCGGCCTGTCCGGGAGCGGGGCGGCCGGCGCTGCCCTCCAGGGGCCGCGAGGGCGAGGCTGGGGTCGCGAATCCACCTCGCGGAAGAGGACATTACGGAGTGGGCCTGGGGGGGTGGTCACTGAAGGTTTGAAGCAGGAAAACGGCGCTAAAGACCGTGTCTACGTGGACTGAAGGCCGTAAAGCGAAGGGCAGGGACCAGCCTCAAAGCGATTTCAAGCCCAAAGGAAAACATACCCGACCTCTAACGGCGACGTCTGGATCTATTAGGTAGGAGGCCGGATGCTGGGATTTACGGTTCATAGTAACTCCGAAGCCAGGAGGTTGCAGTACGAGGAGCAGCGAAGCACAGATCTTCACTAGCGATGGGCAACTTACCTCTGCATCTTACCTCGTACCGTGACCTTCAAAACACGGCCCGTTTCTGGTTCCGCAGGTAACTACTAATTCGGGGAGAGAGGCGGGGCTCCCGGGGCGGGGCCTGGGCGGAGCGCTGTGTGCGAGGGGCGGGGCCAGGAGAGAGCCCAGATGCTGGGATGGCCAGAGGGCGGGGCTGGCAGCAGGGAGCAGGGCAGTCACTTTCATTAAAAACTAAGACGTTTCCTCTTAACTTAAAAACGGTTTAAATAAAAAGCTCCCCCACTCCGCCCCAAAACAGGTTGCTCTAAAGTCCCGTTGGTGAGGCTGAAGCAATTCAGAGCTCTGGAAACTTGGGTCTCCAAGTGGTAGCTGTGGGGCGGCGACTGGAGCCTGGAACATTTCCTGCAGTTAGAACTAATAAAAGCAATTCAGGAAACAAGAGCTGGACTTGTCTTTCTATTACAAACTAGAATGACAGAATTACAAAACTCTGGGTAGGATGGGCTTTTTCACACTGAAAACTCTACAGAACATTCTGTTTCTATTCCCTGCTCACTCAGGAGGCCAAACTCAACGCTCTGCTCATTTCCAGACAATCAGGGACTAGACCTGAGGTCTGAGACTGGTGAACTAAGGCATGTGATAATTCAGGGCACTAACCGTTGCTATAAAAAGAGCAATAAATTGTAGTATTCTTTTTTAGGTAAATTTTTTGATTGTTTTGCTTCTTTTTGCCTTTTAAAACCTGCTTTCCCCCGGAGTATAACAGAGAAATACTTGAGATACATCACTATTCAGTAAAGGTGTACCACAGAATTCTCTGCCTTAACGTATCTTGTGAAAAGATTAGGACAGTAAGTTTAGTTAGCATCCAGCATTTCATATAGATACAATAAAAAGAGAAAGAGAAACGTTGTATTCCTTTGATGAGAAGGCATTACTCTTTAAAATACTTCTATTCTACACTTAATAATTTCCTTCAAATATCTTTGAGAAAAACTTCTTTATATCATAGTACACTTAAGTCAAACATAACTAACAATAATTTAATTGTAATTAGAAAGATTTTTATTTTGAAATTGTAACGTATTTTAGCTGTTCCTTTTTTTTAATATTTATTTTTTAAACCTTACTTTATTTTTGGCTGCATTGCATCTTCATGGCTGCACACGGGCTTCCTCTAGCTGATGCAAGCAGGGGCTACTCTTCGTTGCAATGTGCAGGCTTCTCATTGCAGTGGCTTCTCTTGTTGCGGAGCACAGGCTCTAGGCACACAGGCTCAGTAGTTGTGGCTCACGGACTCTAGAGTGCAGGCTCAGTAGTTGTGTCTCGCAGGCTCTAGAGTGCAGGCTCAGTAGTTGTGGCACATGGGCTTAGCTGCTCAGTGGCATGTGAGATCTTCCCAGACCAGGGATCAAACCCGTGTCTCCCGCATTGGCAGGCGGATTCTTTTTTTTTTTTTTTTTTCCCCACTGTTCAAGGTTTCTTTATTGTTTTAGTTGGTATAACACTTAGATAGTTGGCTGCATTATTTATGTAGATTTTTCTTTTTTACATTACATGGCAATGTATACTATTCTGATACATATAGTACATAAAATAAGATTCTTTAGAACAGTTATGCACAAGACATACAATACTGGGTTTATAATCAATCCCAGAATGTGATTAATTGGAGAAAAAAAGTTGGATTAGGCATCTTGGCTAAAGGAACCAGAAGTTATATAACACGAGTTAAATACACATCTGGTTTGAAGGGCAACTGCAGCATCTGCAACATTGTCAGTGGTACCACCTGAGGAAGTAGAGCTATTCTGCATGAACCAATTTAGGAACACACAAGATAAGTGCCATGCAGCATCAGGATACAGCTGCAGGGTTTTATGAACCATTCCTATTGCTAATGTTAGGAAACTGATGTTTTTCCTAGGCTGTCTTAACATTACTGCTTTAGTCACAGATCAGATATAAAGGACAATATGCACAACCCTCAACTAAAATCCTGTTGTAGCCTAGACAGTGAAGTGGTATATTAGACTTTAAAACTGCAGCTCTTTCTGGATCCCCCAAAGTGTATCTGCACTCTTCTTCAAACAGGCCTGTTCCTCAGGAGTCAGAGTCACTTTCACAACATCTGAGATTCCATTCTGTCCCAAGATGCAAGGAACACTCAGGAACACATCCTCTTTTATTCCATAGAAACCCTTAAGCATGGTGGGAATCGGATGTACCCGCCTAAGATTCTTCATTATACTTTCTGCCAAATCTGCCACAGACAGTCCAATGGGCCAGGATGTGTACGTAGCCTTTCAGTCTGATCACCTCAAAAGCACTGTTTGTGAACTGCCTTCCACTGTTCCTTATCTGCATCAGTGCCTAATTCAGAGTGCAGATTCTTCAGGGAGACACCAGCAACATTCACTCCACTCCATACAGGCACACCAGAGTCTCCATGCTCCCCAAGGATCCACCCATGACAGCTTAATGGGTGAATTCCCAGCCTTTCCCCCATGAGGTAACAGAACCGGGCT